ACTTTTATAAATTGAAATTCAATGACTGGTAATACACTTCTGTGTCTAGGGCAATTATTTATGTATCAGTAGTGAACATTCTTTGAGACACTGTATTTTTGATAATTCATTTTGCATAATTTGATACTTAACATATAATGTAACTGTAGTTTATCTGTTTTTTATTTTAATATCAGTAATGTAAAACATATACTGAGTTATTTGACAGTCACAGATGACTCATGTTGCAATTGTCTATTTATATGTTTCATTTAACTACCAATCTGCCAACAAACAAAAATATTTCTATAGCATCCTATATTCTGTAAACCTAAAACTACTTACAGATACTGACTTTTTAGCATGTGACACACTTAACATTTAATCTGATATTGTCTTTCATTCCCTCCCCTCCATTTAAACTTGTATATTTCAGTTTCTTTGTGCTGTTTTGACATTTTCTGTGTCTGTGACATACACTTTCCTATTTTGAGAAAGTCTATGAAAACAATATTAAACTTCTGAACACCAGTTTTAAAGAATAATTACTGTAAAACCCTGTAAAAGGGAGCTATTGAAGATGGAAAATCATGTCATTACTCAGAGTAATCCACCAAAACACAAATTTTACAGGGGAATGTTCCAAGACCTGGAGCAATGTAGTTGGACAGAACTCTCCTGTGCAATGATACTAATAAACTCAATCTTGTAGGTTTTATTAGTATTCGTTTGCAGTCTCCTGTCTTTTGAGGATTATTGTTTCTTGGTCAGAGTGGCACCTAGAGCTGAGTCAATGATAGTTCAATTTTTTGGATTGCAGTTTACCTCTCATGTTGTATAGTAATTAAGAAAAAGAAACAAGTTAGATTACTTTAATAATCATAGGGTATAACTCTAATTAAGCCAAGTAAAACTCCGTTCCTACTACATCTCAAAAGACTAGAAAAGTACTGTGAATAAGTAGTCCTAGATAGAAACAAATGTAGTATTGAGCCCTTAGAATATTGTTGGAATTGTCATTTTCATTTTCAAGCTTTCTCTGTCAGAGAAATTCATTCAAATGAACTGGAAGAGATACCAGAAAATCCAAAGAAATGTCTTTTTCCTCAGGGAATTTATTGTTTTATTGTTTTGGGCAAGAGTCCAAATCACTAGGTCTGGGCAAGCAGCAAATTCTTCATGTGGAGGATAGAGGACAGGAATGTCCTGGACAAGTTCCACAAGGCCACTCTACCAGTGTAGGCCCAGGGCTGCTCAGATGGGGACAACTTGTAAAGTGAACTTCATTTGGTCAGCCAAGTCGCTCTCTAGGCTCCACTGACTGTATAGATTAGACAGCTACGGTAGCCATAATGGGAGCTCAGACACCTGAAGTTATGTATCTTAATGTATAAGGAGGTGCCATCTGCTAATGTTGAGTTAATACCACATTCACTGGAATAAATATATAAATAAATAAATATATAAATAAAAACGTTTTACCTTTTCTGGCATTTCTGTATCATTTAAAAGGTTATAAAATACAGACCTATACTCTCTCACGGTTGATATTCTCTCACAGCTCACTGGTATTCAGTTAGAAAAAGTAACAAATTTCCTGAGACTTGTTAGTGAAAAATCACAGTGGAAAACAATGGTGTTTATGCTTGTGTGGGTGCAGGAGTGGCAAAGGAGCTACAAGTTTTTCCTTTCATCAAATTCTTTTAACCTAGGTGGTGTTCAATCATCTTTTCTCAGTCCATCTATGTTCAGTGCATATTTGGAAGCATAATTCTTCCTTTCAAAAGTGTTGGTGATATTAAGAACTTACACAAGTTTGCGCAATGTCTGTGTGATGAAAAGAGACATGCAGATCTTAAAGTTATCTTATCCTAGGATAGTCTGGAAATGTAATAGAGAGTGCCAAACTTTATCATTTATTGTTAATACACTCTTATTATGTGTACAAAACCTAATTTTGAAACAAGACATTTTGTGTGAGAGTCACATTCAGCTGGACTAGTAATAATATTAAAGCAGTAGGTGAAATGAGTGTGTTTTTCTGTTACTTAATCCAAAGGGTATTTCTTCACGTAATTTAAACAAGTATATTGTCTTGTACAATATTAGGGTAATTTTTCAATGTGGTTGTCATATCAGAATTATAGTTATTATTCATACAGTCTTTGTCATTGATATGTGATTTATATTTGGCCTCTTGTTTTCCAGGTCTCCCAACAAGGACATGGCTTCAAATGAAAGAGAGATTGTCGTTTGGGTGTGCCAGGAAGAGAAGATTGTATGTGGCCTGACAAAGCGCACAACTTGTGCAGAAGTGATTGAAGCGCTGCTTGAGGAACATCAGGCAACATTTGGAGAGAAAAAGGTCCTTTTTGGAAAACCTAGTGATTACTGCATTGTAGAAAAATGGAGAGGCTCGGAAAGAGTACTTCCTCCCTTGACAAGGATCCTGAGACTTTGGAAGGCCTGGGGGGAAGAGCAGTCTAATTTGCACTTTGTCTTGGTGAAGTCAGATGCTTTCCTCTCATTTCCATTGTGGAAGACAGCTGAAGCTAAGGTAGTACAAAATGTAGAAAAACAGTGGGACCTCAGTCCCGCAAATTACATGAAGATGTTGCCAATAGACAAACAAAAGAAAATTGTCAGGAAGACTTTCCGGAAACTGGCCAAACTTAAACAGGACAGTGTTCAGCAAGAGAGAGATAATATGGAGACACTGATTCATCTGATAATTTCTCAAGATCATACCATTCATCAGCAAGTCCTTAGAATGAAGGAACTAGATATGGAAATTGAAAAATGTGAAGCAAAATTCCATCTAGATCGTGTGGCCAATGATGGAGAAAATTATGTGCAGGACTCCTATTTAATGGTCAATCCAAGTGAGGCTGAGCAGCAAGGGAGTAGACTAGATGACCAAAAAGAGATGCATGACTATTTGAGCAAAAGTGAGGGAATATTACAGGTTGAAGAGAGACTGAAACATCACAAACAATTAATAGAGAAGCTGTGTGCTGAAATTGAAAGAGAAGTACATGGTATATGCACAGAAAAAAATGGAGATGATGTTCACCCAGAAGGAGCTGCTGATGCCGAACTGGAAAATTCGAATTTGGAAAGTGTAAAATGTGAGCTGGAAAAGAGTATGAAAGATGGTCTGAGAATCAACTCATACCTGAGCTGCATTCAGAAAGAACTTACATACAGGGACTCACTGCTTCAAAAGAAGGAAAAAGAATACGAACTTCTTACAGAGGAATTTAATTTGCTACATGTTAAAGACAACATTGAAATTAGGCTTCCATCAAATGAAGAGCCATCCAAGGGCAGTGGCAACTCCACTAACAGCGTTGCTCCTGACTTTGTTCATAGAGTGACTAATCTGGACATAAATGATACAGACTCTGACACTGGAATCAGCTCTACACACAGTCAGGACTCTGAGATAACTTCAGGGGACACAGTACTGTTGTCAACATAATTGAAAACAGTCACACATTTATCAAAAGTCATATTTTGGAGGATATTTATAAGAATTCGTAAACATTGTTTGCTTGAGAGTTTAGCCCTTCAAGATGTTAAAAATGTGGCACCGCTTTACAAAGTAACCAGCGTCTATTTATGTGCTTAATAGCATACTTGTGCTTAAATGCATGGTCAGTCTCATGGGCTAACTGCTAATAGGTGCAAGGTTGTTGGCTTTGCTGAATCAGGACAGACTGTTTAGACCTTGTAATATTAATACTCAGTGAAACAGGAGCATTCTGACTGGCTTGGACCAGAAGTCTGGAGATTTGATATCTCCTAATCTTTAGGCCCACTTCTGCATATCTCTAGCTTTTTAGGAATGTGAATTAGAGATTAGACCAAACTAGACAGAGGGCTTGATTTTCTGCTCTGTTACATTAGCTTTATTCATCTGGAGTTTCTCTGCCATGAAGCTACTGTAAAGGAATATATAATCGAGCATGTAATCTGTTAAAAAATAGTTTTTATGATATTGTAGAACAAAAAAAGCAATTGCATTTTTGCTGTATATTTAAATTTAGTTTTGAGTTATCAGAATATTTTCAAAACCACCTACATCTCATTTAAAAAAAATTAACTGTACACACGTATATTTTTAATTTCCATTCTCTTCTAGCAGCTAAGATCCTTAACACCTCTACTTATCTGCTGTTACCCTGTAGGTGCCCCAGTGATGCTTAAGTCCACATAGTTTCTGCCAGCAGGCATGTCAGAACTGCCTACGTCCTGCTTGTGCGAGACACTCAAATCCCAAGCTCACACCTAACCCCAGGGGCATTTTCAGCAAGGCTTTGTCCTGCCTATCTCACCAGTCAGATCCAGTGTCTTAGACCTCCTTGGATCCTGACTACCAAATAAAACAGAGCAGAAGGACAGGCAGGAACTAAACATTTTTGGCTTTCGCTAGACATTGTTTCCCAAGAGCCAGATAGTTACCATTTTCAAATAGCAGGTAGGTTGTCAAATCCCATGTCATGCTGTTTTGGAGCAGGGATACGGACCTGTAAACCCTACTTTCTCAGTGAAGACTTTTAGATACAGCTGAAGCTGATCCACCTTATATAGCTAGTTAAACATTGAGCCCCAGGGGAAAAAAAAAAAAAAAAAAAGAAGGAATGCAAAACATGAGAATTTTGCAGCTATGTAGTTAAGTCAAATTATTTCACTTAGGATGTAAGTCATTGATCTCAAATCCTCCTCTAGTGCGTAGCTTGAATCCAAAGCAAAGGTGTACAACTGAGGTGTTCTTCTCAGTTACCAAACAAGATTTCTAACTCTGAGCTAGAAACTCTGCTAGCAGAGAAAACATGAGTAATTTCTGGGTTGCCATGTTTGTATCTTGTGGATCAATGTGTTTAACACTTTTGATTAAATGAATTGTATGGAGAAATAGTTACAGTGTTTCTAAACAAAGTTTAGCTCCAGCTAAATACATCCTGGAACTAAAAGCCTACACAGTAAATGAATGGACAGTACCTAGATGGTATAAGTGTAAAATACTTTCAGATACACTGCTTTCCTTTTTTGTATTTTTCTTCTTTTCAATGTCTGTCAACCAACTGTTTTCTAAAATGACCACAGTGTGAGGACTGCTGATTAGCACATACTTGATGCAGGAAAGAAAAAAAAAAAAAAAAAAAAAAAAAAGAAAGAAAAAGGAAAAAAAAGGTAAAAGAGAGCCTTTTCTAAAAGGGCAATTTTTGTGGGGTTTTTTAAAAGGTTTTTTAAATCCTGGATATTATGCATAGTTTCTGTTCCAGGAAAGTGTGCTAGTTGCCTTAATATATTTTGTGTTGTGTTCTTGTCATACAATGTTATTTGAATACTTTAATAATAATATGTTATATTTAGACTCATCAGCTTCTGATGGAAACACATGTATCAAATATATTATCTTTGTAATAATTTATTAACGCAACTCAGCATCTTTTGAACTCTGTGGTGTCACTCTGCCAAGTAGTAAGCACAGAGTTCTGAATGTTGAGACTAAGCTAATGTGTTCCGAGTTCTTGTGAATTTAGCTAACACTTATTTCTAATGAGGTGTTTTTTTAATATAAATACATAGATGGTAAAGAATTCAAACACAATAATATTCAGAGCTGTGCAGGCTAGTAGAAAGCCCATGCAGGAATTAGTTTCCACTCATACTCTATCAGATTTGTTTCACTCATAGGAATTTGTACTGGTCCTCAGAACTGATCTTTATCCACACTATGTGCTTGATTGTACATCCCCTGCAACATGTAGATCTTAAGAGTATTACTGTGTTTTAAGAAGAAAATAGGAAAAATAAGTTGGGAGAGAGTATTTCTTAAAAAAATAAAATAAAATAAAAAAATCCAGTGTTTTGAAGCTTATACTTCAAGCTTGTACTTTGATATCTCAAACAAACTTGTTTCTTTCAGAATTTAGATGAATGTACGAGATGATTAAAGTCTGTGTGCACTCTTTGCTGTTTATCTGCCTCTGTATTTTTCACATATGTGAAAAACATTGTTTGACCTGGTTTTAGGATGCTAGAAATATACCTTGTGAACCCTTATGCTCCTTACTTAACATTCTTCCTTTGTCTCAACTATCTATGATTTGGGTTTTTTTTAATTCCCGTAAGAAGATGCACAACGAAATTTCCTGTCATTCTCTTAAGCCAATTCCCTCTCCATCTTCACATTTTTGTTTTATTTTATAAAATTTTGCATGGACTATGTTATACTTACTGACAAAGAGGAATATCAAAAAGGTCCTGCATAAGAGGAGAGAAAAATTCTTCACAGGTAGTGGAAATGTGAATTGTCAAAGTGAAATGAAAATAAATTCAGTCCATTACTCTCGTCTCTACAACAGGTTTTTGACAGAAAGACAGTTATTTCTTCAGAGTGAGAGGAGTATTGTGGTGAGTAGTTGCCAGTCTCAGCCTGTATCGTGACTGTTTTGCTGTGGGATAGGTTAGTCCCCAGTATGAATCTGGGCAGAGATTTTCAGTGACTGTCATCCAGACTAACAGCACTGAAATGAATGGACTTGCCTAATACAAAGTTCTTTGTATCCTACATACGTAGATAGTTTCACATATATATATTTATAACCAATATAACTCAAACAATTTCCAGGGGACACAGTGTATACCCCAATCTCATGTTTCTGCCTGACTTTATTATGTACTTTTACAAGTTTGATGAAAGCAGATGAGCCAATTTAATTACCTGCCTCAGTTCCTTGATGACTCTCTCAAATGTAAAACATAATTAATCGTTAAATACAAATTTACAGTATTCATCATCCATTTATATTCTTCAATATTACCGTGTAATTGCAGAATTATTGCTTTTTTTTTTTTTTTTTTTTTTCCCCCTGAAAAACTGAGCAATCCCCCAAGAACTTACTTCAAACTTTTATATTTGTCTTCAGATTGTGCATTCAAGGATTGTTCTACTGGCTGTCTTGTGCTCCATACATACATACAAATTGCTAACAAAAGGTATTCAATTATATGATACTGACAGATTAAAATTCACAGACGTGAGAGCTTCAAGTTGCAGCTTTAGGCTGCTAAGATTTATAGGCTTTACATTTCCACCCAGAATCATCATTTGTTAGTGTCTGCATGTTTCCAACTGTGTATAGACATAAATAGAAGTAATGTTGCAAATCATTATTACAAAATCATATAATTTCTACTTCTGATTGCCTAATTGTTTTCATCACTTTGGATGAAGATCTAGATCTGTGAACCTAATTTGGCAAAGTACTGATATATCTAAATTTAAGCAAATAGTAATTTGAATTATTTTGTGTCTGATGCATATTATATTTTCTTTAATAATATAATGAGCATTCCTTGCTAATTTTTTTTTTTTTCTTGTGACTGTTCATTCTGTTGAAAAACCCCCAAACTTATTTTCCATTCTCATCTCATGAAATGCTGGTTTTGTAATAAAATATCTTTGGTAATGATAAACATTTTCATTAACAGTGCAGGTGGAACACACACTTAAGAACAGAAGTGTCTAAACCAAAGGGCTTTTTTCTAAACCTACCTTAGACCATCTTTTCCTGTCTTGCCAGTTTAGTTAGCTTGAACATAAATGACTCTTTTCTAGCATGCTCATAGCTTGCTCATAATAGTTACATACACAATATTTTCCTTTTCCTTAGAGCTGTAGTGTTTATCCTTCTGTGTCTTTTACTACAGCATTTAAAAGACAACTAGATTATTTGACATTTTATAACTTCCAAAAATAAATTGTTGCTTGCTATCTTTCCCAAGGCTCCGACAACATAAACATACTTCAAAACAAATGTGACTGCATTTCCAGTGTCCATATGATAAGCATTTTTCCCATGTATTAAAACCATTGTTTTTTTCCTGAAATGTGTTTAAATGAGTATAGAGGCTTTTTAATATTACACTGCCTTTGTGACAGTGTTCTGCAAAATGTAATGTCTCATTCCAAAGTTTGTTGTTGTTTTTTTTTCAGTTTAACAAGCAACTCAGAATATACGATACTGTATCAAAATCTCATAGTCCTTTCTCAAACGAAATTTTCCGTGACTGAAGTTATTGTCTTCCAAAGAGAGGAATGACGGTATATAAAATACAGCCATCAATATTTTCTTTCCAATACTTAACAGATTCTAATATTTAGTTAATATGCCTTCCAGCAAATGTAACTTTTCAGACAGATGACTGCAGCCTGATTTTCTGGAATCAGATTTGTGACAGATCGAGTGCAACTGGAATCCAGTCATTCATTTCAATGAGAGCTGTTTATAATGTTTTGTAATCTTTCACTTTTAATTCAGGAAACATTCTGAAATAAGAACCTATACTTACATTTGGGCAATATTTCTGTTTTTCTGAATTATGAATTAAGTGCTTACATTTTATGCTACACTTGTTTTTCAGGTGTTAAAAAATAAAATCCAAAACTTCAAATCTAACTGGAATTCA